TTCGGAATTCAATTTCAGGGTCATTTTAAATTAATCGGGGTCGGGTTTTGGATTTTTAATTTTGGGGGCATGTATAACCTGGACCATATTGAGATATAGTGTATGACGCATCTGAATTTTCATACAGGAAATTTTTCAGACGCGAGCTTATAGAGGAAGTACAGTATCAATATCAATATCACTATATATTCTACTTAAACAAATGATTTTTGTCATTTATCCTTTAAATTTCTATTATAGGAACCTGTGAGATAAAAATAAGTGAATATTACTACAGTCAATTGTGCATGAAAATTGAATCCTATGGTCACAATATTATTGAATTGAAAGAAGAGTTGGAACGGGCTGCGAATAATGGTCATTTCCTATGTGAATATGATAATGGATTAATTATTTTCAAACCAATATCAAGGTGGAAAATGGTAAGAAATCGAGTCACTGGCTACCGATACTCGAGAGCATCAGGAGCTGGATTACGTGTAATTGGGAAACAAGTAGATTTCATAAACAATGTGCAAGTAATCTGACTTAAAGGTTTGTGATTTGGTTATACATTTATAGGATTTCATAATACATTGTCCCAACAACTAATATTTTTCAAATAGAATGCTTCGATAAAAGAGTACAATCTGAAAGACAAACATATTCTGATCTTCTTAGGAGAGAAGCGAAAGGCATAACTGATTTACTCTCTGTCTTGGCTACCAACATGGTCGACCATTGGACAATACGCTTGATGAATTTCAACTCCATCAGAGATTTCGACCAATATATCAGTAGTGATTCTTAACAAAATCATTTTTACAATAACGAATTAATGAAACTATAGAAGAATATTAATTATTCATCAACAATTTTTATCACTTTATTAATAGTTTTGTAATTTCATCATCAATAAATTCCGAAGTTTATATTAATCTTTAATTGTTTATTTATAAAACCTATTACAAGGAAAAATACTTCATATGGCTTATGATCTAATCAAATAATAATTTAACATAATCATCACTCAAATTACTTCATTAAAGAAATTTTGTATCTGTTATACTATACTCTCATCTCCGTACTCTTCCCAATGGGTATTATAGCAGGAAGGATCTTTATCTTCACGATAGTTCTATCTCTTGATTGTATCAACTGTGATCTGAAAATTTGAATAGTTCTTGTTCCACCATGAAATAAATTTTTCAGGAGTAGTGAGCCCTTTCGCCTTGAGGTTGAACATATACTTAGGGTCAGGAAATTTATGGGTGTTTTCGTAATATTTCTTGAGAGAAACTTAATGTTGAAATGAAACGCGAACAATTAGTTTAGTAATTTTTTCAAAACATATTATTAAATTTAAAATCGATTAGATACAATATGGATGCTGTGCTTAATTGTTAACACCTTAGACTCTTCAGAGTCACTACATTCATCGTCAGGAGGGTAGTAGGACAAATCATCCCCTAAAAAAACAATTCTAATGATTTCAATGTTAATAATACTTGAAAAAAAGTGTTGTACTCTCAATACCTTGTATTTGATTCTTATTAGTTAAGTTCGCAACATTAAGGTTTTTTCCTTCTAAAGAAGGGTTTTGATTAGTTTCGACAGAAGTATTTCGAGCTTGGACAATATTTATTGTCTCACGTTATTATTAAGGATGAATTCTTAATTTCATATTTCCTGATTATTTCGTATAACTTCATGTACATAGTACAAATTTGAATAAAAATCACATGCGATCTAATAATTCCACAATTATATCATCTGTTTTATATTCCCGTATTTTTTGTCAATCCCAAATTCCACTTTTCCAGTTATTTCTTCTAAATTTTTCAAAGTGAATACCGATTTCGACGATTTATTCCTTCTCCCCAGTTTCGGAAAAAGAAAGATAGATAACATATACTGATATTATACATGTTTCACTAATGAATTGGTAGAATATTTATGTACATGTGAAGAAGTAAAAAGGTAGTTATTAGAAAACTTATCTGTTCTAAGTGATATTATTTCTACCAATATCTCATGCCTCAAAACAATTTGCATTAAAAGTATTTCTCTGGAAAAAAATAGCAATGTTGATACACCTGAACTAGGACCGTTGTCACTGGTGGTTCTCGGTTCTCTCAAGAACCACTTAATATAGTGACTTAACGGTTCTTTTAAGGAGTTTATAGTCCTTTCCTGAAGGTAAGACTGTTGTTTCATTATTTTAGAAGGCACCACTGAT